ATAGTAGAACGTGTCTCTAGTAGAACATATCTATAGTAGAATGTCTCTAGTAGAACATATCTATAGTAGAATGTGTCCAGTAGAACATATCTATAGTAGAATGTGTCCAGTAGAACATATCTATAGTAGAATGTGTCCAGTAGAACATATCTATAGTAGAATGTGTCTCTAGTAGAACATATCTATAGTAGAATGTGTCCAGTAGAACATATCTATAGTAGAACGTGTCTCTAGTAGAACGTCTCTCTAGTAGAACATATCTATAGTAGAACGTGTCCAGTAGAACATATCTATAGTAGAATGTGTCTCTAGTAGAACATATCTATAGTAGTTGTCTCTAGTAGAACATATCTATAGAAGAATGTCTCCAGTAGAACATATCTATAGTAGAAAGTGTCCAGTAGAACATATCTATAGTAGAATGTGTCTAGTAGAACATATCTATAGTAGAATGTGTCTCTAGAAGAACATATCTATAGTAGAATGTGTCTCTAGAAGAACATATCTATAGTAGAACGTGTCCAGTAGAACATATCTATAGTAGAACGTGTCTCTAGTAGAACATATCTATAGTAGAAGTGCTGATGCTGTCAGCAGGCTGTGATCGGATGCAAACTGACTTCATTAGACTTGGATGGAACAATAATCCGGGGCGGATTAGGAGGCGGATCCGTCGCAGGAGCGTTTATGTAACGAGGAGCTGATGGAAGCTCCTCGTTCAGCTGCAGTTATTGGATTATAATTGGATTAAATCTGACAGCAGCAGAGTAGATGGAGAACTGTACATTCTAGCTCCACCGGTTCTGGTTCTGGACCAACTGGACCTCTGAGAGGAATCATCTGGGTCCTCCTCCAGAACCAGATGTACAGTTTTCAGATTACAACTGGAGTAAAAGGAAGAGAACCGGGTCCATCTAACGGGAACCGGGTCGGTCCGGGTCCATTCTGGGGGGTTCAGAACCAACATCTGGACCAGAACTGGTCCAACATGAGGGGAACCAGTCAGATGACCCAAACTTTGAACCGAACAATCTGAGGTCCGGTTCTGGACTCTCTGCAGAACCAGAACTTTATTCATGGAAAACATGTTCCGGTACCAAACCCACAGCCTGTCTGACCAACACCGATTCAGAAAACGGAGCAGAGCTCTCCGGAACATTCTAGATTCTAAGTTGAAGAACTGATCTAGAATAAAATATCTACTGTGACTGAAGATCATTATTTTTCATCCAAGTAAAAATCATTTTATTCTCATTTATCTCCAGTTTAGGTCGTTAATGCTTAACAAATATGAAAACATTAAAAAGGTCCATTTTATTTCATGTTTCAATCAGTTTCTCTCATCAGTACAGATGGGGGCGGGGCCAACAGGTGGGGGCGGGGCCAACAGGTGGG